TCTATACTACTCTGATTTCAGTTAAAATGTACTTCTGATACTCTAGAGGAGTGTTTTGGTGGGTGGCCTTTTTGGTTTGGTGTATAGACCTTGATTTTTACATGTTAAGTAAAGTTCTTTTCCTGCTGTAACTGCACTTATTTACAAATACTTTGATGGTGTCACAGTGACACTAATGCAGAATACTTCATTAGAGGTAAAGCTGGTATTGTAACGCTTTCATGTGGTTCCAGAGTTAAAATCAGAAGTCAGACCTCAAGAAGAGCAACCTAGTTTGGAAAGGGTTTATGGAAACTCTGCCTATCTGTAACAGAAGCTTCTTTTAGATTCCAGAGCTGTTCCTTTCCTCAGTTTTATGGCATCAGAGGAAAATCTTTTTCCTACTGTGAAAAAGGAAATGTTCCCTGTGCCCTCGTTAATGTGCTCATCTATGTTTATAAAGAAATAATAGTCCTAAATTTAGATTGATGACTCACCATGGCTTCACTGTATTTGGAAGAAAATACAGTGCTGTGTTGTGGTTGATGCTCAAAAAGAGAAAACTGGTCTCATTTCAAATCTTAAAGTGGACCACTGAATGTTGATAGTATCAGTATCTAAGTGTAGTACCTTCTTGAAAATGTAAATGATTATGTATAATATGTAATTACCAATCTAGGCCATGGAAGAAAATTTAGTGTTTTCAGTGTTCTGCTTGAGAGGGAAAGTGGAGAACATATACAGAAGAACAGGAGAAGTACAAGAGGAAAAAAAAGAAAAAGGAATTTGTGCAGCTTTAAAAAGGAAAGTGACAGTAGGCGTTAGGGAATGTGAAGCATGCCAGAGATACTTGGAAAGGAGAGAAAGAAGGAGGCACCTTGCCCTGGTGATGCCAAAGTCAATTGATCGTAGCATTCTACTTGCCTTGTGCTGTTGTTGCAAGGCACTGTATTGGGTTTGTGTAGTGAGTTTTTGGTAGCAGAGGGGCTACAAGGGATGGCTTCTGAGAGAAGCTTCTAGAAGCTTCCTCTGTGTATGACAGAGCCAGTGCCAGCTGGCTCAGAGGTGGACCCACTGCTAGTCAAGGCTGAGCCCATCAGTGACAGTGGTAGGTGCCTCTGGGATCATGTATTTAAGAATGGTGGGAAACTGCTGCACAACAGCAGCTGCATCTGGAGAGTGGAGTGAGAACATGTGAAACAGCCCTGCAGACACCAAGGTCAGTGCAGAAGGAGAGGAGAAGGAGGTGTTCCAGGTGCTAGAGCAGATATTCTCCTGCAGCCCATGGTGCAGCCCATGGTGAGGCAGGCTGTGCCCCTGCAGCCCATGGAGGTCCGTGGTGGAGCAGATCTCCACCTGCAGCCCAGGGAGGACCCTACACTGGAGAAGGGGGATGCCCAAAGGAGTCTGTGACCCTACGGGAAGCATGTGCTGGAGCAGCCTCCTGGCAGGACCTGTGGCACTATGGATAGAGGAGCCCACATTGGAGCAGGTTTGCTGCAGGACTTGTGGCCCTGCGGGGGACCCACGCGGGAGAGGTCCCTGCTCCCACACTGGAGCAGTTAGTGGAGAACTGTAGTTTGGGGGAAGGACTCATGTTGGAGAAGTTCATGGAGAATTTGGCTTTACTTTTCATTTCCCTACTCTAATTTGATTAGAGAATTGATTAGGTAATAAACTAATTTCCCCAAGTCTGTTTTGCCCCTGACAGTAATTGGTGGGTGATCTCTTCTTGTCTTGACCCATGAGCCTTTCATTATATTTTCTCTCTGTCCAGTTGAGGTCAGGGAGTGATGGAGTAGCTGTGGTGGGCACCCGGCATTCAGCCAGGGTCAACTCACCATAGGTGTAAGGTAGAATATGTATTAAGCAAATCATTAAAACTGTCCAAAAGCATTTCTTTGTGTTTTCTTGCTAAGCAGTGTATGCAGATTTTAAATAAGAAAGCTAAGAAAAAAAGTTCCAGCAAGAAGTAGTTAATTACAGTGGTAGTAAGATTCATTACAATAGTAATTACATCTGTTGAGATACTTCATATGGATGACGTGAGTAATATTTCTCTGGCAAAGAGGAGAGGGAACCATAGGGAATTAAACATCGCTTTGAATTTAGGGCTACGGATATAAAGATGCCATAATTGTAGTAGATTGCTATTACTTAGCTTTGTACTGGGATACAGTCCTTAACTGCGTTTCCATACTTGTTTTAAAATGTAGTATTGCTGGGTTTACTAGATCATTGGCTTTTATATTGTAAGTTCAGACATGTGGCCCAAAGCAGTTGTTGATAAAAGTTTCAGGAGCAAAGACTAAGCAGACCAAGAAAAGAATTGGAAGGATTATTGATGATTTAAAAAGACTATGAATTAGTATAATTTGTAGCTGTGTAATTGTGTAGCATGGTTGTGTAGCTATGTAATTAAAATTATATTCTTAAATATTTCTTTTTAGATATTTTCTGCTACATCTAATTTCTAATTTTCAGCTGGAGAGTTTAGTAGCTAGTTTTATGGAGAATTTCTCTTTTGGGACATCGTATCTTCAATTGTTAGCTCTTTAATTCACGAGGTAGTCGAGATGATAGAAAAGAGAAGATGCGTCTCTTACTGACTTCTTGTCAAGGGTTTTTTTCCCTACTTTTGAAAGGATCAAGGGGTTTGTTTGTCCTACCATATTCTTTCCCACCCAGGCATTTAATTGAAATAAAAAGTAGTGATACAGTTGATATCTTTGTATTTAAATTACTATTAAAATTAAATGTAAATATTACAGGCACACAAAATTTGAATAGTAGGAGGATTTCATGCAGCTTTGAAAGACATTATCAGGCTGAAGCGAAGTATGTACATGAAATTTTGGTCGATTTTAGGAAGACTTCTGAAGATGAAATGACTTGCTATAAGACACTTCTCAGAAGCATACTTATTCTGGAACATTAGGACCCAGATTCTTGAAGGGACTGGGATTCCTGAGGGGATCTGAGAAACTCTTAGCAGCAGAACAAGTATTTGAGTTCTGTAAGGGACTCCCTCAAGATGGGTCATAATTCTTGGAATATCTGTGGTGTCTGCAGAAAGTAAGCTTTGTCAAAATGCTGTATGTAGATACTAAGGTTATATTTTAAAATTACTTTTTCTCCCTAAAAATGTGTTCTAGCTCTTGTAAAATATTTTTAACAAGACTGTGTTTGTCAAATAGTATTAGTTGATTCCTGAAGAAAGGTATCTAAATTTATCCAGATCTGTGTGTTAAAAATAGTGGATGATGAAGGAACTTGAATCCAGGGTCTTACCTAAAAATAGTACAATTTGTGTAACTGAAGGTAGGTGGGGAGCGCTGTGTGTATTTACCTACAGAAGGTGCATTCTGAGACCAGATAGAAAAAGTTCTGTTCTGCAATACATGTGTCACTTTTCTAAAAGCTTTAATCCATCTTCATAGATGAGTATGCAGAGTCTTACCTGCCCTTGCTGTGAGCTGTTATTTTTACATTAAGTTTTATTTTTCAGGGTAAAGTAATGAATATTGTTGCTGTTTATGTGCTCCTTGCTCTGAGAACCCCCTACATTTTTTACGCTAGAAGTCTTCTGCATCTTTAGTACATAGAGTTAAAACTAACAAAACATAATACAAATTGATAATCGTAAAAACTAAACCAAAACCCACCATATGTTGTGTGCAGCAATCTTGTATGAGTATGTAACTGGCATGTTTATGGCCTTGCATTAAAACATGTTTCAAGGGTGGTACTACAAGGAAAGGTGGACTAACTGCTTCTCTTAAGGTACTTGGGAATAACATGCTGCAAACAGCAGAGAGAAATATTTGGAGTCCACTCTTTTTCTTAGCACTCCTTTGGGCGTTCCCCTGCTCCAGTGTGTATTGTCTATCTTAGGTTAAACATTCCTATAATAATACACATTGTTCCTTGAGAATATAGTAGCTTGATTTTTGTTGTTGCTGTTAACTTTTATTTTACTATCTAAAGTTAGCAAATAGCTATAGTCACCTTAAATAGTATTTATTACTAGTTTGTTTCATCTTCTTGAACATGGTTGTCCAAAATTCTGTACCATATATAAGGTGCATAAGCGTTAGTGGAGAAATTTACTGGTGTTCTTCCTTTGGTCAGAGACAATTGGCTGTTCAATAAAATGGAACAACATAGAGGTGCAAAGAATAAATATCAAGTTCAACCTAAATGGAGTCAGGCTTATTAAAGAATATGTTTTGAAGTATTTGTACAAATAGAGATAATTGACGGAACCGAAACTCTTTTCCTAAGGAAATGACGTAATTTATGTAATGTAATTATTACTTGGTATTTTGAATGTCTATATCAAGAGTTTTTAAATGTAAGTATATTGTCTTCCATTTTCATTGAGTGGCCTCTGTCAGTCTCTTGTCTCAGAAGACACTTTTGCAAAATGTATTAAGGAGTATGATAAGAATAAATAGGAGGATGGCTTTTGGGAGTTATTGTGCTGGTGAACTCAGGCTCAGAATACTTGTCCAGTTTAGTTGGTACAAAGGCAAGAGGTTTGTTTCTGCAGCTTGACTCTTCGGTAGGGATTATAGAGAGTTTTGTTTTTTTTTTTTTCCCTGGGTACTGCCTATATTCTTAGTATTGGGACAAAGAAGAGGTACCATAAAATGAGCCAGAGTGTGACAGTAAGAGTGTGCATTAATTATTTGGAAGTAATGAACTTCTAATCTGTGCTCTTACCCACTGGTAAATATGAAGTAGCTTTCCTCTCATTAATGTAGAGGAACAGAATTAAACTTTCTTGAACACACACAATGGTGTAAATAGCTTGTGACAGCTGAAATTAATTCCTTATCAGATGGGACTAAAAATAATGTATCTTCAAAATATTCTTTGAGGAATAGCAGAACATTAGTGCTGTTTCAAAACTGTAGATTCTTTCTTCAGTAAAAAGTATTGAACAAGTCCCATTTACTTAATAACATGCTTTTTTTTTTTAAAAAAAACCCCACATTTTTGTTGTTTTTGTTTTTCAGGATACAAAATTATGGATTATAATGGAATATTTGGGTGGAGGCTCTGCCCTTGATCTAGTAAGTAACTTATGTATGGGTTTTGTTATTTTACCTCACTTAATTATTTTCCTGTATTTTAATTCTGGAAACTGTAATACATCATTTGATTATGACAATGTTTGCTTCCAGTAAAGGAGAAAAAGTATTTGTCAATGCCAGGAAAATGTTACTTCCGTGAGGCAAGACTGATTGATAATTTGTATAGATGGAAGGGAGCTACGCAACATAAACATCCAATCTTCAGTAGCCGGAGAGCACTAGTGGCTGAAAGTAGTTTGGGGTTTGGTGGGTGTTTTTGGTATTTTTTTCTGTCTCTCAATTCTGCCACCACAGCTCCTCCTGGTATGAATTTTAATGCATCTTCCCTCCACCCCACCCCCAAACAAAGTTTCCTTGTTTGAAGGCTCATTGAACTCTAAATAGACAGAAACACAATTTAGTCTGGTATTAAAAAACTGTATTTCAAAGAAACAGGTGGAGCCATGGACTCGCACACCAGTAGGCAGGCCTCAAGAGGGACCTGGGTAGACCAGAGAGCTAGGCAGTCACAAGCTGTATGAAATTTAGCAAGAGCAAGTGTTGCATTCTGCACCTGGGGTGGAGTAAAAGTTGAAAAGTTCAGTGCAGGTTGGTTTTCTGTGATTGATGCTGTCCATTCACTGTAGCTACCAAAAAACCCCAAACAACCTTCACTGCTCTATCAGCCTAGCAGTTTGAATTGTGGTTTAGAAGGTTTCACAAAATCCAGGCGGTACATAGTAATAGCATGTGTGATTGACACAGTACTTTGTATGCCTTAGTTTCTTGCACAGACGTTGAGATTTGGATCCATATAGGGCCTCTAGAGTTGCACATCGAAGTTCAGTGTAATGTTAATAAATCAGATGATAATGTAAATGCTTTTCAGAGGCAGTGTGCATATCTGTGATGTGATCACAAAGAAATAACTTGAAACTGTGTATTTGTGGAGCCTTTAACAAACTTAAAAAAATGTTTTAGATAAATTAAGTATTTCTTCCCCAGGACCACTTAGTTTAGAACTATGTATTTTTAAAAAGAATATTCTGGGTTGTATCTCATGTTACAAAGTTAGCAAATGGGAAGTTTTGAGGTGTGACAGAAGGAGTAATTTCTTTTTAAAGTCACAGTGTTATTTCTGTTCTGCTTCTCCTTTTTTATGTATATGTACACACACATATATGGATCTCAAATATCTCTTGTGTCTCCTAGTTAGAACCTGGCTCGCTTGACGAAACCCAGATTGCTACAATATTGAGGGAGATACTCAAAGGACTTGATTACTTGCATTCAGAAAAGAAAATCCACAGAGATATTAAAGGTAAATAGTTTTTTTTTAATTTGTATTGTAAGAATATTAGAAGAACTTATGCAATATAAATAAATGCCCTTACAGTGTCAAATGTCTTAGTTTCCTCTGTTTCCCCTTCTTTATTCCAGCTGCTAATGTATTGCTATCTGAACACGGAGAAGTAAAACTAGCAGATTTTGGAGTAGCTGGACAACTAACAGATACACAGATAAAGAGGAATACTTTTGTGGGAACACCATTTTGGATGGCACCTGAAGTAATAAAGCAATCGGCATATGATTCAAAGGTAAGGTATTTCAAAGCATAGCCAAAGTCCCTTCTTTTTTTAACTGGAATTACATAGGTTGGTCTTCAGAATGTAGCTAATGTATTCGGCTGTGTCTAGACAGGTGTATGTTTAGATGATACCTAGCAGCTAAAAGTTGGTGAGGAAAGAAGCTATCCTAACTTATATCCAGACCTTAAGTTTCCTAGTATATTAAGCCTATCCAGATGGCAAGAAGTGTTACAGTGTTGACAAGTACATCCCGTCACCTTTTATCCCGCTCTACTGATGAGTATTTCTGGGAAGAGAGAAAATACATACAAAATGCTCATATGCTTCCACTTGCTTTTAGAAAAAAATAGCAACACTGTTGAATATGGATTTGAGAGTGTGAAAGGGTTGTTTAAAAGTGTTGTTATTCATCTGTGGAAGAATGTGCTGCGTAGGTCTGTGCTGCTCTATGACCATGTTCTTTTAGATATGCCGTACAGGGAGGGTTTAATGTTTAATATCAGATTTACTTTGTGTAGGTATTTCCATTACACAAGATTTTGATTTAGCAGAGTGGTACAGCAGCATCCTGAAATCACAACATGAACATGATATATATTGTAATTTACAGTTGGATCACAATAGAAATGTGATTCCTGTTATGGGTCTCCATGTGCTCACCCGCATGGCACTCGGGTGTTCCCAGTTGTCAGGAAGGAATACATGCACTGAAGACAGCTCAAGCCTATTGCTCTTTCAAAGTTAATTTTTTTGGTTATTTGGGTTTTATACTTCTGTTATGCTAAGCTGCGTATACCCCTCCCTTCCCTCTCCCTCACGCTGGTCTGCCTCAGTAAGACATTGCTCTACTGATTATATGGGGAAAAGAGAGCTTCAAAGTCAGACTAAATTTTGCTTGTTAGAATGGCAGTAGTGCAAAAAATAGTAGGTACCAATCACTTGCTGACTCTCGTGTGAACATGGATGAATAATTTCTGTTCAAGATTTGAAACTGTAGAAATCACAACATGTGGTGTAACTTAGTGATGATACAGTGTCATCACTTCTTAAGGTCATGCTTCACGCTCTCTATGTGGAGGACTAATTTGCACTTGTTCTGGAATTCCACTGACACAGATAAGTGCGTTCTAGAAATGCCTGTTTGGATACACACACAGTTGGTACTTACATCCCTGTTTGAGATCCTTCCTTATCTCTGAAAGGAGAGGTTACCGTTCTAGAGGAATCGGGGGGATTGGGGGTGGCGGTTATTCTTCACGCTTCCAACAGGAATGGGCTTCCAAAACCCATCTTGGACTTCATGTTCAGTGTGCAGCTGGGGTGTGTTGCACTTTTTAGTTCATTTTTTTTGTGGAGGAAGGTCACTAGCAGTGGCAAGTTACAATATGTGAGGGGAAAAAGATGAAGTATGTATATATATTTGTGTGCACGTGTGGATATGCACATGTACACATATAAATTTGATTTTTATATTTATATATACACGTGCTCCATCTGTGACTGAAAGTCTGGCAGAAGAAAAATCTATCCATTTATATGTTTTTTTTTTTTTTTTTAACGCATTCCTCATGAGAAACTGGAATTCAGAATAAATTAGAAATACTAATGCTCAGTTGTTAACACAAAGACTTATCTTCACAGGTGACATTGTTCTTTCATAACCAAGAAAACCTTTCCTTCTAGAGGGAAGTTACTCACAATTATACTCAGACATGAGGAGAGCTTAGCTGCTAATGCTGTTATTAAAATAAATGAAACTTAGAGCTCACATACATATGTAATCCTCTGTGCTCAGTGTGAGGTGGCAGTTCTGTCATATGGGTTAACAAACTGTCATTTCATAAATTGGATGGTATGCTAATTGACTCAGATCTTTTCCCCCCACCCCTACTTTCTTACCAAATTAAGCAACTAAGCTCTTAGCAATAGAATACTGTCTGAACAAGGAAGGAGGAGCTGGTTTTTAATCAGGCAGTGTAGCTATGACAGTGGAATCGATGCAGCCTGTAGTCTTGTATGAGTTAGTCAAAGATTCACTAGCCTATCAGCTGAGCAGACACAGATAGATTAGGGGGACACTTAGTAAGGACAGCAGCGGTGAACAAAATCTCACCTCTGTCCAGTACCTGGAAATAGACCTGTTTACAGCACAATGAAGTTCCAAATGCTCTGTCTGGGAGTAAAACCAGACACCTTGCTTCAGATCTTTCCTGTTTTCCTGAGAATAAGTCTTGGTTTGAAAGAAACCTCGACTTGACTTCGAAAGAAACAGAAAAACCCAAAACACAAATATTTTTAATTAATGTCCTTTGGAACAGACATTTCTGTGATTTTTTTTTTCTTTTTTCTTTTTTCTTTTTTTTCTTTCTGCTTTGTGACAGGTTTATTCATCCATTCTCTTGACCTGTATGTCTGTTATTTCAGCAGAACATAGAGAATTTTGATGCATTACTTCACATTACTTCAGGCAGATTTGGCAGTAGGACTTGGATCTAGGGAGACAGTGTTCCTTAAAAAGAGTAACACATTTTGATGATTAAAACCTATAAAGCAAGTATGTCTAAATATGATCTTTCCTAAAAGAAACCAATATGCACATTGTGGCATCCAGTATCAATGTGAATCCAACTCCTCCATGAAATTAAATGGTAGCACTGGTGTCTGCTGCATGACTTGATTTGTACCTCTAACTTGGCAGTGAGCCATTTGATCTGCATTCACATGTGCATGACTTGGAGTATTTTGATTTAAATCAGACCTTTTTGGCCTACAGGACGTGGCTTACAGGAGAAGGTCTACAAAGCAGATCAGGTGGAATAGTGCTGCCAATATTTCATAAGCTACTTGGACCAAATACTTAACTGGTTGAAAACTTGGGTTGAAAATGGTGAATAACATTGTTCTAGACTGGTTTCCTCTAGTCTGTGGATAAGAATGATGTGTAAGACAGTGTTAACCCCCAGGAAAATAGTATTCTGATGTATTAATTTCTGATGGTTGTACTAGCTGATGCTTATTGAGGAAAATCTTGTGCATATTATAACATTTCTCTTTATGCCAGTATTTGAGCCTTGCTGCATATTTACATAGTGTACTTGAATGAGGTGGATAAAGTGCTATTTATAATGACTCTACCATTACTTTTTTAAGAATATTTGTGTTTCAAGATCAGTTATAACTGCTGGTGTAATAGTATTGATTTCAAAAATGTTTACAAATCTAGTAAGAATGAAAGGACTGCTTTATGCTGGTGGAGTAAAAACAGCCAAGGAACTCTATACTGGTTAACCACATAAACCAGACCATGATAATAAGAATAATTTAGATATGAAATTATTTACAGTAAAGGTTTAAAATCTGCCTTTGCAAGTGTGTTGGTTTTGGCTGGGATAGAGTTAGTTTTCTTCACAGTAACTGGTGTGGGGCTATGTTCTGGATTTGTGCTGGAAATGGTGTGGATAACCCAGGCATGTTTGAGCTGTTGCTGAGCAGAGCTTGCACAGAGTCAAGGCCTTTTCTGCCTCTCACCCCACCCCACCAGCGAGCAGGCTGGGGGTGCACAAGAGGGTGGGAGGGGACACAGCCAGGACAGCTGACCCAGCTGACCAAAACCTTCTGGCTTTGTGCTAGGCAATAAAACTAGGGGGAGGTGGGCCAGGCAGTTACTGCCTGCAGAATGGCTGGGCGGTGGGCAGCTGGTGATGAGCAATTGCTTTCATTTGCATCACTTGTCTGTCTTGGGTCTTATTTACCTCTCTTTGTTGTTTTCCTTCTCACTACAAATTATATTATTATTACTCCCATTGTTAATTTATTATTTATTAAACTGTTCTTAGCCCTTGAGTTTCCTCACTTTTACCCTTCCAGTTCTCTTTCCCCTCATCTCACTGAGAGGAGAGCAAACGATTCTCCAACCTTAATCTTAACAGCCTTTTGTTTCTTACAGGCAGATATCTGGTCATTAGGCATAACAGCCATAGAACTTGCAAAAGGAGAACCACCTCATTCAGAATTGCATCCAATGAAGGTTTTGTTCCTCATTCCTAAGAACAATCCCCCAACACTGGAAGGAAACTTCAGTAAATCCCTCAAGGAATTTGTTGAGGCCTGCTTAAACAAGGACCCAAGCTTTGTGAGTTTCATCTGTTTGTCAATGTATACTAGGGAACGTGACTGGTTTACATGAATTACATGAAAAAGTGCAGTTCAGTTTTTCTAATATGGGGCAACATATTCAGCAGCAGCATTGTGGTTTGGTTTTTTCTTTTTTGATTTTTGGTACTCTTCATATTTAAAATCTCATTTCTATCATGACTTAAGTCTGGATTTCTTAATGTTTTTGCAGGGAGTCACTTAGCACTCTCAAATGCAGTAAAGAAATATTATTTTCTTTTTCTTTTTTTAAGAGACCTACTGCAAAAGAGCTCTTAAAACACAAATTTATTTTACGAAACTCAAAGAAAACTTCCTACCTGGCTGACCTTATCGATAGGCACAAGAGATGGAAAGCTGAGCAAAGTCATGACGACTCCAGTTCTGATGACTCAGATACGTAAGTCTGAGTTTTTAAAATATCCTCAGTAAATATAGGAGCCAAGTAGTTATTTTTAGCACGTACGTTTCTGTGTTCTGTTATTTACAGCTTTTCAGCTTAGCATCCTTGGAAAAGTAATGAAATCTTGATTTCAGTATTGCAAGGGATGTCATGCAAGTCACAGTTACTGAGAGCAATTCTGCCCCACAAATACCTTCTCTTTTATTTAGGGACTAGGGTCCTTCCCAGACATAAGGCCAACTGTTATTCCTGTTGTGCAGAAGGTGGGCTTCACCCTGCGTGGCCAAGTAGCAGTGTGCACGTGCACTGTGCTGTGTGTGCCTGTGGTCACCTAGGGAAGGGAGTTGTCTCTGTGGTGGCAGGTTGTCCCTCATTTTGGCTACCTCAGTAAAGAGGCAGAAGCATATTCTTGCATATAAGAGGGAGTTAGTGGACAGTACTTCCCTGATAGTGGGGTTTCGTGGTGCAAACCGTATTACCTAGGTTTTTCAATGGGAGGTTTTTACTCTCCTTCCAGGAAGGCTGGCTGTTACAGCACACAGTCATGAAATGTCAAATTATTTATTGAAAAAGGGGAAATGTTGTAAATATTCCCAGATTTCTTTCCTTTGTAAGTTTTCCTTCTCTCCATCAAATTTTGTTGGACGTGTTCAACAGGTTCATGTGTTTCCTTAGGAAACCAAGTTACAAATAATTATGACTCAACTAACTTTTAATTTTGTTGGTCTAAGAGTAATTTTTAAAATAGTGGGTATCATCAGATCACATACTTCTGAAAATCAAGTGAAGGGATTGCCACAATTTATTCACAAATGGATTAAATTCCTCATAATAAAGAAAATGCAACTATTCTCTGCAGTTCCAGCCTGTGTGCTAATGGCAAGCATCAGCCTGGTTATGATTTCTTGGCTGCTATTACAGCTGTGTATTTGTCCTATGTTAATAATAGCTTCATGCCTTCCAGTGATCACAGTTCCAGCCCCAAACCATGTCTGAGTTGGAAGGTAAATTACTAATCCTAAAACTGATTTCAGATCAGTTACTAACTGAGCTGTGAGGTTACAGTTCATGTTCTGTGGAATATCAGCTTTTACAGCTTGTCGTAGGAGAGTAGTGGAACTAGAATGGTTCTTAAGTGCTTATGAGGCAATTTCATGTTATGTCTAAGCCTGCTTTCCCTTCCTCCGCTTTCACAGCAGCTCTTGTATTAAGTGTTACAAAAGAATGAGTTGATTTGGCATGCTGGAATACTGATTTCCCAAACTGATAAGTATTTCTCTATTGGATCGAGTTATTAGAGCTAATGTACACAAGGCAGGTAGAACTGCCTCTTTCAGTGACTTTCTTTCAGTGAAGTTCCATGTGACTTCAAGCAGAAATCTTGGGGAGTTTTCTTACACTGATCACATGCTTTTTGACTTGCTCTAAATACTTTTTGTACAACCCTTTTAATTGGTAGTTTTCTTGGAAATCACTTTGAATTCACAGATCAGCCAGAAATGACCTTAGAGAAGGATGTTATGGTAATGAGAGGATAAATGTAATGTGGTGATTGATTAGTGTCAGCATAAATATTCTTGTTCTTTTAACTAGCACAAGTTACAGTAAAAATTACCGTTATCCACAAAAAATGAGGCAAAAGATGGGCTTTTTTTGTGGTGATCTAGTTTAAAGCCTGTGCTTTTTAGGCAATTTCTTTTAAGAGGGAAATTTACCTTGCTAATGGGCTGGGGATGAACTATCATCTTCCTCAAAGGTATTCTAAGTTAGAGTCTTTACTGGTTTTTTTTAAGGCAAAAAAGGGAATTAAGTCTTCTGATTTTTCTCCCCTTCCCTAATGATTTGAGGTACTCTGCTAAAGCCAGTTTTCAGATAGCAATAAAACACTTCATGTTGTTTATGTAACTTGGGAAAATGTTTTAAATCCGTAAATCCCCTCTTTCTCTTTGAAGTTAATTTAACTTCTAGTGAAGTATCTTTGGTTTCATTTTTTTAGTTTTCATTTCCCCAAAAGACAAATTACTTTTCATGCTTGTCTTTGTACTTACTGGCTTGCACAACTGAATCCTGATTTTGGCCTTGACTGTAGTTTTTACGTTCAGCATGTATAATGAATGAAAATGGACAGTAAGGTGTAGGTAATAAAACTTTGTATTTGTTTTCCCTCCCTTGAAGTGAACAGGATGGCCAGGCTTCAGGTGGGAGTGATTCAGGAGAATGGATCTTTACAATAAGAGAAAAAGACCCCAAGAATCTAGAGAATGGAGCAGCCCAGCCTTCGGAGTTGCAAAGAAATAAGGTGCTCAAAATACTGACTACATTACACCAGGAGACACTTTTTGCTTTAATAATGTAGTGGGGTGACTTTTATTTTATACCTTTAAAAGCATTTAAATTGTAAAACTTTCAAAACTTTTGCTAAAAATGTATATTTATTCTACAGTTGCCTTTCACAAAACTTTGAGTAAGTCTTGATGTTTGAGTATTCTCTAATATGTCCTTGGTCTGTAGCTTGTGAAATGTTGGCACTGGAGGAAGACCAGGCAATATTTTGTTTTTAAAAATCTTCCTTTTGTAAAGTAAACTTAAACCAATACAGTATAAAGCTAGGGGCTTGGGGGAAGGCCTTCTGGTCTCTTAGGAAAAAAGACTGCAATGTAGCAAAGATAGGATGTGCATGTGTCCAAAACCTAAAAAACCCAAACAACCATAAAAACCCCCAACAAAACCCACCAGCAACAGCCCCCCCAAAATATACCCCAAGCCAGACTAAGGGATGCTTAGGAGTTCCTCCATCATATTTTCTGCAGCCCATGTAGCTAGGGCAGGTGGTTGCTACCCTGGCTGTGAAAATTCTGTGTGTGTGCTCTTATTAGAACTGAAGAAGTACAAGAAAAATATTGTATGATATGGGAGGAGCCTAGTAAATACTGGCATGCCTGTGATTTAGTACCTGCTCAGTAGGATTGTGCACATGGGTGTTGGGTTTTGTCTTTTTAATTTTGAGCTTACATGTGTTTGGGGTGCTGTAGCCTCAAATAACTGTAGCATGTTGGAACTACTTTTTTCTTTAATTAGTAACAGAATATAATGAGGATGCTTTTCTCTGGAAATAAAATTGATCAGAATTTTGTTTTCTTGAAAGGAAAAGGATATCCCAAAGAGGCCTCTGTCCCAATGCCTGTCTACAGTTATATCCCCTTTATTTGCAGAGGTAAGTTATTGCTTTAAAGCTTAACTAACAGTTCCAGGATTTATGTCGCTGAAAAATAGAAAAATATGATGAATGACACCTAAGGTTTCTACAACCCATTTGGAACATAATGTGTTACAGCTTTAGCTGTACCCTTTGCTTTTATGCATGCCTGCCTTTGAGATCTTTGTTCTGTCATTCTCCTGTGTAGAGTGGAGAAACACTTTAAATGGGGATTTCTTTTTTTTGGCATTCTCCATTGCAGTTCTTTGTGTATTATCCACTTGCTTGCCTTGAGAATTTTCTTTCAATTCTCTACCCTTCCATCTTCCAGACATTTTTCTGGTTGCTGTGTGTCTCCTTTAAGTCTTCCTTCTCCTTTTCCAATACCAAGCATGATACAGGTCCTGCAGCCACTGTCTTTCACACTCCATCTTCTATTTTCATTCTTTCTCTGCTTTTCATTTTCTCATCACTATGCCCCTTATTGCATGATTTCTAGATATCTCTGCTCTGGCCTCTTCCTTCCCATGATATTGCTAAGTAGTTGCTCTGACATTCTTTACCTTTCTTGCTTCCTATCTTCATTTTCAAGGTCATTCTTTTAATTGCCATTTACTGATCCCTGTGGGTATATGATTCCTCAACACTGCTGCAGCAACGCAAACATTTTTCACTGCAGTCCTTATTCAAATTGCCACTTAATTTCATGTCTATAGCATGTAGAGGCTACAGAAATCTTTTTCCTCACACACATGTATGTATGTTGAATCTTTTCATGCTGTATGAGAAGACTCTTGGTCTGGTATCTGCTGTTCAGTTCACACTTTAGACTCCTCTTCCATGCAACTTCTGGAGGATAGCCACAACTTTCCCAAACCGTTCTGGAATCTCATTGCAGGGTTTCCTTTTTCTTACAGGCATGGTCACTGTCTCTGCTGTCTGGAGGAAGCCTTATGTTGTATTTTTCAGTGTTTCATTTATTTAGCATTCAAACCACAGATACCTGCACCATCGGGAATTATTGCTAGTTAAATTAGTGAGTTACTCCATGGATCCCCTCCAGAAAGAACAAAGCTGCCCATTCTAGCTTTTTGTCATCATGGAGGCGTCAAAGCTTTTGGCATAGAAAACCAACTACTCTCCCTCAGTAATCTTAGTGAGGCACTGAGACCTTCCCTCTCAGCCCTCAGTTCCTGGCTAATTGTGGGATCCTTTGCTTGGGGGGTGGGGCGAAAAATGAGAGAGTACTCGGGGTACCCTGTTAATAGAGTTGACAGGGTGAAAACATTTTGTATCAGGGCTTGCACAAGGGCACCTACAGTGTATACATACAGGTGTACAGGTATGTGTACTATAGTGAGTATGCATAAGCAGCACATCTTGACATTACACAGCTACCAGTAAATAGTGCCTGTAAATAGTGCATTTTTCTTAGAATACTTTCTAATTTTTCAATTGTGAACATGCTGAAAAGGATATGTGAGTGATGGAAGACTTGTGAAGATGAATGGCGTCCTGATAACTACTGCAAAGACTGACTTCAGGATGTGAGGGTGTATAATGAAAGTCAAATCCTGGCATTGTGAACACTGGTGGTCACTTCCTAACGAGCTTTTGCTTTATATTGCTTATAGAAATATTTATGAATCTCTTATTAATGTATCTCTTCCTGGTTTTCTTTCAGTTGAAAGAGAAGAGTGAAGTGTGTGGTGGTAACACAGATTCCATAGAAGAACTGAGACAGGCTATTTATTTAGCTGAGGAGGCTTGTCCAGGCATTGCAGATAATTTGGTGTCGCACCTTGTGCAGAGGCTTCAGAGGTAATGAAAATATTTCCCTAAGGGTTACAGAAAACTGCAGATTTGATTCTACAAATATTTGGCTAGTGTTAAATTGAAATAATTAATTTCTATTCAAAGAAAAGTAAGTGCTTGCTTCCACTGTGAGGGTGGTGAGATGCTGGCACAGAGAAGCTGTGGCTGCCCCCTCCCTGGCAGTGTTCAAGGCCAGGTTGGACGGGGCTTGGAGCAACCTGGTCTGGTGGAAGGTGTCCCTGCCCATGGCAGGGGGGTTGGAATGAGATGGTCTTCAAGGTCCCTTCCAACCCAAACCATTCTGTGGTTCTACGAAAAAGGCTGGAACTTCAGCAGCATTAAATGGAGTAACTTTCAGTTCCCAGTTGTTGCAGAATGCCTTTCTGAAAATCACATCAATAACTATTTATTTTCTCCTTCAGATACTCACTAGCTGGAGAAAGTACTTCATCCTACTGACCTCCTGTTCCTGACTTTTCTAAGATAACAGAAATCCCACAGTGTCTGCAGTGAAGGCGTACACCCTGATGTTGTTCTGCTCCTCAGTCATTGGAATGTCCTTTGGTGGAAGGACATTCCTAAATGTACAAGAGTGAAAAGGAAGTCTCTCGGATGGAGGCAGTCCTTTTCAGCTCCTTAAAGCTATAATTTTTTTAAAAATGATAATGCACATATTCCAGGGAGGTGACTTTTTGTAAAATCTGAAATGTATATTTAGGTTTGTGATAGAGAAATTGAAGATATTGAGAAACCTCAGGTATCTTGCTTTAAGAATTCCACTGGGAGATGGCGTATGTTGGAATCGTGTACAGATATGTATATAATGTCTTTTATAACTGAAAGCCTTTCAATGTGGATAAGGAATCACTGTGTACAAAATGGTAAAGTGCTTTTGTAGATAATGTTAGTGGGATAAATATTTGACGGGCCATAATTGAGTATTGCCTTGCCTTTATTACATGTAAATTTTGAATTCTGTGATGTGACTCTTGGTTTGATTTTGGTATGTGAAGGATTTGCTGTTGAAAGAGTTAATCCTGTACCATGGAACCTTCTACTAGTACCTCAGCAAAGACACAACTTTGTTCTGTTTCTCCAGTATTTCTTCCTTTTTAATCTATATTCTGAGCGTGACTTTCTAATTACGGTACTACTTCTGGTTGTTTTAATTCACCTTGTCTCTCAAAGCTTTAAGTTTAAATTATTGTTTTTCCTAAAGAATGAGCTCTTTTAGTTTTTCAGTTTTAAATTGTGCCAATGCAAATTCCGAACACTATGTATTGTTCAATTTTAGTAATCGGTGTTTGTGAAGCCTGTAGTGAAGTTCAGATACAATCTTCTTTTCACCTGACCATGTTTGAATGCTCATGCAAATAAATTTTTATTACCTTCATTTATTCTGAAATATCTCCTTCAGATGTTGGCTCTGAGCTCTGAGGCAGTGGCAAGTATTCCTTCATCATGCCTACTTTTGTCATTAAAATGAATGTCTCTCAGTGTAAAGGAAAAATTATCCATAGACTCAATATTCGGTCTTGCTGCCTAAATCTGTGTATCTCTTTACTGAAAGTGATGGATATCAGACAGAAAGGCTTCAGAGCTGAGCCTGAATGGTGTATGCTGTGTCCTGTAACAGCAAATCTTGAGATTTCCACTGTTCCGTGAGGGCTCCTAGTAGCTGACTTAACATTTTATAGTTCTTGGGAACAGTAACACTAGTGATACACACTGCTGACCGGACAGCATTTTTGTTTTCACAGTATTACCCTAGGTTCATCTTGGTTTTTTTTACCAAGGCTGTATTCAGGTGCTGCTTATTCTTGTAGCTAGGAGAGCTTTTTTGCCTTGTTTTTAATGAAGAAATTGATGGCTTTATGTTTTGCATGACAGTGAGGTAACTTAACTGGTTAATTAAAAAAACTATATGAATTTTGGAACAGAAAGGATTAAAACTTTTTAAAAGTACAGCTGTATCTACCTGCTTTGGTGCAAAAAACCCCAGGTTCTCTAAGCAGTCTGGAAGCTGGTGAGGTGTCCTTGCAGAGCTTCATCTCACCCTCATTCTATGCATATTAATAGCCTTAATTATTAATGTAATAATTTAACAGTATGAGGACACTGAAGCTATGAACTTCTGACCTGCTTGAAACAAGTTTGAAGAAATGAGTGGACGTGTGCTTGCTCTAACCAGTGTTCTTTTTTAGACACAAGACGGTTGACAGCATGAGGGTAGTGGTTTTCCTTTATGGCTGCATGGATTTAAGGTAAACTGAACAATGCCTAAGTTTGAGCAATGTTTTATAACTCCTCTTTAATTAATATCTTTAAATATGTTGGCTTGTGTGCTCTTAAACGTTAAGGTTAGGCTTTACCCTCGAGGAAGCAAATTTAGCTCTGCTGTTGCGAAATGGGCACCTGAATACAGTGCCATGGGAAACTTGCCCGTGACATCTCAGTAACAGAACATTCAGCCCTTCAGTAAATACGTGCTGTTACAGCATACAGAGACAAATTGATATGTTTGCATTTGAAATACAGGTAGATTAACAGAAGCTTTTCTCCGGTCGTCTGTTCCTATGAGCATTTTAAATTAAAGTGAGCGCACCTGGAGATGCACAGAGCTCAGAGATTTAGTGTGGAAGTTAAATTTACGGTGCTGGCTGAAACATCAGTTTCTCAATTAGAAAATTAAATGAAATTGCAGCGTATGCTCTTTCTGAACAATCATTTGAAAAGTTATACACACATTTATTGTTTGAGTTGCGTTTCAGTTGTGTTCCAGGACTGTGTGTTGAGGAAATACTTCTCAGAGTAGCTTGTGGCAGAATTTGCTTGGTAAATGCGTCCCTTGGTTTGGGAGCTTAAGATGCGTAAGAGCTACAGCAAGGGCAATTGGCTGGAAGGCTGGGACATTTAGGAAAAGACAAGACCTCATTTATGGTAGAGATGTGTATTTTTATATGTAATATATAGGTTATTTAAATATAGACTATCTTAAACTGAGATCCACTGAAAAAAAGTGTGCTTTAGCTTGAATGTAAAATCACAATAATTTGCTTTGGAAAGTACTGATGCTTTAAAAATTGGATCTATACTGGTAACAGAAGGGGAGCTTTGTTTGAAAGAAGCCTGGCCTCAGTTTCTGAGAGAAAAAGAAGCGTGTTGATATTTTAAGAGGTTATTTTATGCTAAAATCATGTCTGTGTTATAATGTTGCACTGATGATTTTTCTGTGCAGGTAGTACTTCACTTAGTCTTGAATATATTAAGCAACAAGCTAGCCCTATTTATGCAAACATTTAAATTAATGGCACTGCTTATTTTGTCAGGGATTTCCAGATTAGGCATTAAATAAACTCCCTGTTTAAAGAAAATAAAATCAGTCATTTGAACTGAAGGCTTGCTTTTTGTAAGTATCAGATGTGTAATCTATTTTTTTAACTTAATTTTCCTTGCAGTTGCACTTTGTTGATCACCAGTTTACTACAGGACGATGGCATGATCGCTGTCATTCTGAATGCTTTTAATGTACTAACAGACCAGCTCTTCCTCTGAAGAGCCACGGTTCCTTTGCAGCTCTAAACATTTTGGTCCATCCACATCGGTATGGACAGATGAACCAGTTACTGAGAAATGATTTACCTGTGGTGTTGCACCCTTGTGGTACAGGGGGAAGGTAAGAGTGTGTGCGTCGGCACTTACCTGCAAAGCAGTTACTACTGTGAGTTCCTGTCCTCCTCTATCCACTGTAACTCCTTCATCTGCCTCTGCTTTCAGTGTGCTTGTGAAATGTTTAGCTCTTACTACTTCATGTGGCATTCTGTGTTATTTTTTTAAACAACATGGTACCAGTATGTACTAGTTTTACATTAGCCTTACTTTTAAGGAAGCTTATTTTTGCCTTCAAATATGTCACTGCTGGAACATTACCAGAATTGCTAAGAAGCACGGGGATAACGCAAGGATCAGTACAATCGCAGATTATTTTTCTAAGTTGCTGGGGAGGAGCTTGAAGTATAGCACAAACCTGAAAGCTTGCTCTTTTTAACTGTATTTTGCAGATGTGTGAGCATCTGCAGTGGACAAAGTGTCTGCAATGGTTTCCTGCCTTCTTGGAAAGCATGATTACAGAGGACGATTCCAGTGTGTATCTGGTTTTCTGTAATATTGCTGTCTGTTTATAACCGTGTATTTAAGTTTTACTTCTGTCACTCTACACCAACATAATAAAACTTGTAAACTACATGACCTAGAAATAAAGAAGGAAAAAATTAATGAAATTTTGCCATCTGAGTGGTCAGTAAGATGAGATTTGGGGCTCTCCTCCCAGAAGGGGATGCTCCTGCGGGGTTCTACCTCAGCTACTGCCCTTGTGTTGGTAATGGTAAGCAGAAAGGTTATAAATTGGTGATCAGGTTTTAGCTGTAATAATCTTAGAATTTGTACAAGACAAAACTCTTGTATAAACTCAAACAACACTTTCTGAACATCGAGAATGTTTTTTGCCATGGGGAAATTTAATAAGCTTATTTCTGACAGATGGTCTAGCCATGTAAGAAGTTCAGTTTCTTGATTAAGGTGTTTGTTTTTCTATCATCTCCACACATGAGTGACTGCCAGTGTACTGTTTGGGTTAAATATGTGCAGCTCTGTATTATGGTTTGTCCTGTAGCAAGACAATGTGCCCATTTACAGAGGCCAACAATTTAAAACCTGCTTCATATTCCCCGTCCTGCCAGCCTAGTGACACCGATGAAGAGCTTGTTGCATTAATGGAACCCCAAATACTGTGTCGTAACCTGTGACAAACTGTGTGACAGCTGCACTCCTGTAATTGCATTTCATTACCATCTTCTGCTGTTCAAAACTGTGTGTGTGCCATGGGGCCATTTTTACTTTCTCCACCAACTTTCCTGTGTCCCTGGTGGAGAGGTGGGGAGGGAGATATCAGTGTGCTCTAGCAACTGCTGTGCCCCTGTACGGCCATGCCTATGGCTTGAGAGAGAAGACCACATAATTGGTCCTCTATAAAAGGAAAAATGTTCAAAAATGGGGCTTCTCAGGTTGTGCTTGTTCCTCTGTTTTGTTCTTGGCTGATGGAATAGGAGGATACTAGTTTTGTCTCTCTCCTTGCAAGTCCTTTTTTTCTCTCTAGTCGGAGACCTTTATCCGGATTTCTGCAATCACAGCATCCTTTTCTTTGCCTGCTCACTTGTCTTTCAGTCTGTCATTTTCAGCAGCCTTCAGCTGAATTTATGAAGGCATTGACACCTCAACAGTGTTTAATTAAAATTTTGTGACAATAGGTAGACCAGAGGTATAGTGATAAATAGTCACGTCTTAATGGACATTAAGTTGGACAGCAAAGAAATGACGGAGCTGTTTAGTCTTGTGGAAGAAAATCCCCAGGAGTCAGGCTTTGCTGAGCCCACTGTGTGTGCTGCAATTTCCTAAGGTAATAAGGCTCCTGGTTTGCTTTTATTTGTTATTTGAAGAAGAAACTGATTATTCATGGTAAGTAATAACAGCACCAAGAGTAAATGTCTTAGTGACCGGTTAGAGGTTTTCCCACTGCTGCAACAGGAAACCTGTATTTAGTCTTGGCTGCTCCCCAGGCACACACTGTGGCCTGCCTCTCTTCATGCTCCATGAGATGGGATGACCAGCAGCATGCTGTGAATTAGGGTTCAAAGCAAGTGCTTAAGTCTCACGGCTTTATAGTAAACTACAAGTTTTATTCATACATGTAGACTTCAACTGATTGTAAGATACGACTGTGAAGACAGTTGCCTTTACTCTCTTACTGTTCTCTTTCAGTTTGGGGTTAACGTTAGGAATAAAGAACTAGGAAAATGCTGACAAATGAGGGCAGTTCACCTGGGACCATTTAAAAAAAATTAGGAGTTACTCAGGTACAGAAGGAAGAAGAAAATCTTATTTAGAACTTATTTTCTATAGAAAAAAAAACCTAATACTTTTTGGTGAATCTCCTGAATCAGGTGCATCCTCTGACATTGCAGCCACAGACTAGCTCTGTTCTCATGATAAACTGAACTGTATCTTGATCCTTGCCTTAAGAGTAACCTGATTGCCTTTTTTATTTTGATGCTCAGAATAAACGACTGCAGCAGATGATACAGGGGTAACGAAAATTGTAGCCAACAAGCCCCTGTGATGTAAAATAAAGTATTAAGGGCATGACCCTCAATAGACTTTCCATCAAGACAAAAGAATCTTTTCACTGTTGTAGCTAACAATGATGTGGGATGTAGCTTCTAGGGCTTTGCAGGTATTACTTCACAGCTCAGTAATAATTTTTTCTGGGGGAACACAAGGCCTGCAGCCCCTTGCTGTACTTCACAGCCAGCAACATGTGCTGTTGCTTCTCTACTTCTGTTTTTCCAGGCCTGCACGATGTTGCCAAGTTGCTGTTAATTTCTGCTGTGAGCTGTCGCTGTCTCATCACTGTATAGCACCTTGTTCATGTTCCCAGTTGGTGCTGAAGTGCTCCAGTTCCTGGATGTTGTTGGTATGCTGAGGCTGTGGAACTCACTTGCTTTGGCCCTACAAAACAAGGTTGCAGACTTGGAATGGACAAGTCACTGGGACCTGCCAACAGCAAAAAAGGTCTTCAGATCTTTCTACAAACGTGCTAAGTTTGTCCTTCATGTCACAGACAGAGGTGATGCCGTAGGGTAGATGTGATCATTATGTCTATACTGATGAGGGGAAACAGCTTAGGGAGCAGAGCAACTGCAACAAGTTACCTGCCCAGGAGTGGGAAGGTTTCCACACAGCCAAAGGAAGTATGAGGAAATCCTTGTTTCCCTTTGCTGGGGGTCTTGCAGTTGGCCATGGGGGCTGCTGCTTGTCCTAAGGGGTTAGGAGCCCTCCCTCTCCCTGGATAGGAGTCTGCATGTATCTTTCTTTGAGGGGCATGGGGGACACAAAGAAGGCTATGCCATCTCAAAACAGGAATAGGTATGATCATATTGTGAGGTATTTTATTCCCTTTTGTTGCGAGCAAAGCTGTCAGCCATTTTATACATCGCACATAGCTAAAGCCATTAACAAAGCAAAGAGCCAGATGAAGAGAAAGTAGGGGTAGAATAGTCCCAGCTTCATTTCCCACAGCCAGGCCGCTCTGCCTAGCTCTGTCTCCTCAGAGGCCCCTAATGGGGATAGGTGCATTTCCACCATGTTGAACTTGTGTTCATGGGAGTTTTATATCCCCCTCATGACAAGGTGTTTCCTTAAACATAAGGCGAAGCATCTAAGCAATAGCAGACACTTTGCGCTGCCAAACTTCTGAGGGGGGCAACAGCTTATCCAAACTGGGGTGTTTGTTAGCTAATGGTAAAGCTGGGTCTGTGGAATGGGTGAAATTGCCACTCTCTCTGCATGCTGAGCACCAGAGGAGAGAGGGAGAGACTGAAACTCCAACCAGAAACTTAAAAGTTATGCCAGGAGGTGCAGCAGGCAGGATAAAAACCTGGGGCTTCAGGGGTACCCTCAGCTTACAGCATATGCATTACCAAAACACTCTTCCAAATCAATCACAAATAGCTGCAGTTCTCATAGCATACAGGTTTTCTTTCAAACAGACAGCAGAATGTCACCACAGCCTTTAATTTCTTCTTGTACATACCATTCACAGTACATTATCAGCCCAAATAATATTGCACTGGATTATTCTAAAAAGATTCCATCTTGCAAGTAGTATTCACTTTTCAAAGCCAACAGATGAACAGTTTGGTCAACTTGCACCAAGAAAAGGGTTAGATAAGAATCCTATACTTTATTTATACCACGTGGATTTGTAACCCCGAAGGGAAATGAGAAGGAGCTGTAAACTGTTTCCTTGTTAAAGATAGAAAATTAGTAATTCCTTGCTGATTAAATGTAGAAAGACTGGGGAAAAAGATGAAATCTGAAAGTTACCTCATTCCTGTTAGACTGCTTGCTGTATATATAATTATATTCTATACTGTGAAAGTCCATCTACATTTAAAAATCCAGCAGTCTACAGATTAACATGGTAAAAAAAAATAATATATTTTTATGAAAAGAGAAGAAATAGTGTTTGCCTCAGAGGAGAAAGTGTTCAGACTGTGAAGTCATCTTTTCTTTTTGTTTTAGGTGCAATCTTTGAGGCAACAAAATGTCTTTTGGCATTTGGCACTCTAATAAGGACAATATTTTAATACTGGCACAAGCTAAAAACAGCACAGAATGACAAAATACAAGACATGAAACGAACCGCAGCCACTGGGATGATGGTACGCGAGCCTGAACATACGGAGAACTTAAACAGTTTTGCCGAGGAATTGTGATGGTTCTGCAAAACGATACTGATTTTCGTTTCTTTGCTTTTACCAAAGTGTAAGTTTTCCTAAACTTGGAGGGAGACAAGAGTTTCAAACGTCCTCTAGAAAAACAGCAGCTGCTGGACAATCAACACGGCGGCTTGTTTAGCCATCAATAGGCATGAGGCTCTTTATGACTCAGAGCTCGGGTGCGAGAGGCAGAGGTGGTGGCACTTCGGATCACTTCCATCCATCTGGGAGTAGGCCCGAGGAGAGACAAGCAAAAGAATGGTCAAATCCTAAGGATAGATTTCTTGAAAGATACAGTCTGCACTACCAGTTGGACAGAGTTCTATTTCCAGTGCCTACAGGAGCATCTCGCTTGCTAATTCACTCCTAAGTCTAGCTGAAGGCAAGAGGATCTAGATCCAAGTGACCACCAAATGCATACACAAAAGGAGGTATAAAGCCCCAAAAATTCATGAACTTAGGGTTTTACTCATTCTGCAGACACCCAGTCTCCTTTGCTTTTTTTCTGGATTGTCCAAGTGATGAGCAGTCATTACCAGCCACTCCTCATTCTAGAGTGAAAAATGTAATTCAGCTGCAGTTCCTGCTTCTTTTTCCTAGAATTGAGAAAGGGCTTTTTTGCTTTTCCCTATTCTACTCATCTATTCAATCATCCCTTTCCCACAATTTGCCTAATTTATACTTTTAGACTGACATGGCTAAAACTTCAAAATAGCTTTCTTCAATAAGAGACGACATTAAGGTTTTTGGCATGTTAAATGTGTCATATAAAAGAGTTATATTAGTTCTCAGTATGAACAACCTCAAACTGCCATTTAGGAGGAGCGATGTCTGTTTCCTGGCTTTCCATGCATCTGAAATTCAGTGGGAGGTGTAAAAATTCCATGCTGAAGTGGCATAAACACATTGTAAGAGTTTTATTTCAGGCGTGGATTTTTCCATCCAGTTGCACCAGAGGGAGTGAAGTTATTCTGAACAGTCCTGTATACTGGAAGAGTCCTGTGATCTGTTTACGTGCTTGCTGAAGTGTGAGGCGCAGAGCCAGCCTGATCAATTTTGACTGGGTAATTCCTGTCTTGTAGTGATTACTGTCACAGCCATCACATCATCAAACCCAACCACTTGGTTCTAGAGTTGCCAATCAGGTTGAAAACATCTTCTGAATTTTAAAGGGTTCTTTCTCTCGTGCTGAACTACGTGCCTGTATTACTGAATCAATTTACTAAACTTCCATTCTACTCATCTTATTTGGAATCTGCTAAACATCTACTACTCTCCTGGAATTTTACAAACTTCCCCCTCACAGAAGACCGACTTACTTACCTTTCAAACGTGTATTCACTTTCAGCCCTGAAGTAGTACACATGGGACTTGAAATGTAGCTTGAACACATAATCTTTGTGAATGTTTTCAGATTCGGAAGGGATGGTAAGTGAATATCCCAATAAAGGAAGGCTGGCTAAAGGATGATTGTCCTGAAAAGAAATGATAGAAAATGCTGTGACGTCAAATGCTCTGGAGTAAAGAGAGCACACAAAATGGAAGACAGATACACACTCATTTAAAGTTCATCATCGTGTTTCCACACGTACTTTAAAATATACCAGCTTTATACAATCACACTGAACTTAATTGTCTGGTAGTTTCAGCTTACCCATCTTTATAGACCCTTCTCACAGAGATCTGCTGCAGGCTGATCCCATCACTATTTCCTTATAAGTTGTCCGAAATCTCAAACATTCACTACTTTCAAGCTAAAAGCTAAAGCCCTATCAGTTGTCAGCAGCAGCACAGCATGCATGTTCACTGGAACTGCAAAGTGAAAAATTTCTTCCTAATATCTTACCTAAATCTCCCTTCTTTCAGTTTAAAACCATTTCCTCATATCCTATCCCTA